GATATCCAGGAGTCAGTTGGTTTGTACTGTGCAACTATCAAGATGCCAACATTTACTAAGGGTTAAAAAACAGCTCAGTGGCATTGAAGTTGAACAAACCAGACGAATTGCTAATGTGTGGATTCATGTGGAAAGAGTGATTGGAAACATTAGAAAGAAATATGCACTTCTGAGTTCAACTCAGCCAATTGATTTTGTCTATTCTAAAGAAAATGAGCCCACTATGATTGACAAAATAGTTACTGTTAGCTTTGCACTAATTAACATTTGTGATTCTGTCTTACCTTATGACTAAATAAAATCTTTTAAAAGATTTTGCATGCATACACTTAAAATTGTACTAATAATATTCATAAGACATTTGATTTCATTATATTTCATTTATTCAATTTTTTGGGTCTTCAGTACCATTTTCCAGTTAATTCTGGAAGGAGTCTCCTCAACACAAATTTCTTTGCTGTCTGCAATTGATACATGTTACATACTTTTGTCAAAAACAACCATACAGCATTCTACTCGTTGACGAATGTCATATCCAAATGCTATAGCAAAGTGTAGTGATAATATTATCTTTTTAAAATAAAAATAGGAATTAAAATTGAAATACAGCAAGGAAATAGCTTAGTAATTTGTTTGTTCATACACCAATGTCAATGGTACCCGACTCATAAATTTACGGCAAAAGTAACATACAACAATCTCTAGATTATAAAGAGTGATCAAATAAAGGTACTTACTACAATTTTTAAGCATTGAAACATATTCTAGATCAAAACTGTCTCTACTTGGAAAGCAAGCTGTTAATTATCTGGCCTTCGCAATGATGGGTGCAAATTAGATTCTTGCACGACCAATTTTCAAATGAACTCGAACACCGATATTTTACAGGTATCGAAATAATTTTGATGTCAATTGTTTTAAATAACTTGTTTTGTCCATGACATATATTTGAGACAAGTAGAAGATCGCGAAAAGCCTGAAATATTCGAAAATCCTTGTTTATAAACGTTATCCGCATTTCTAGAGTAATTTGTGTCTCTTTTGGGTAACCGGAGGTGCATTTTGCATATATAATTGGCTTCACTTTTGGTACCTATAGAAGATATATCCAGTCTATTATCAGATCAGTGGAATAGACTAGTTCCTTCATCAAACCTATAGTAGAAAAGTATTTGCATTTGTGTCTAATCTGAACACCATTTTAAACTATTTGATTGTGTCCATATATAGCTGAACAGTACAACTGGCTATTTTAAAAACAAATTCTTGAGTAAATTTGAGTCTATTTAAATTCCACCATCAGAATACTCACTGAATTCATCACTGTACGGATTCATATCAGCTTCAGCCAGTCCTGCTAAGATTACTTAGTTGATTTAGTTCAATCAACCACTTACTCTCCTCTTCCTGCGGGCGCGCTCGTCTATAACGTGAGACGAATAATACATACCTGTCTTCGTTTTCTCTCTATCGTTAACTCTTCAGCCGCTGGAACAATTCCTGCCACATCAATAGTAGGAATAGCATTGTCTTTCAACGTTGCCTTAGTTTTGAGCGACTTAGTCAACGCAGGAGTACCGTTATAGCATGAATCATCAAAGTTGGTTGAACAAAGATGCGATGTAGCCGGAGCTTGAAAATTTGGTCGATGTTTGCGGACAAAATTTTCCGATCATGTCGGCCGTTTCGGATCTTTTTCTTTTTTAAGAACAAGATACAACGATATTCCTTCTATAAATTGTGTATTAGTAGGACATGCTAACTTTGGACCGCCAGCAACACAACTTCTACGTCTGTGAAAGCGTTTATCACATTTAGTTCTATACGCCATGTTTAGGAGTGATCATCGTTGTGACGTCACACGACAAAGAAAAAGTTCGCACAATATCTAGCGAAAATCGCAACTTTACAAAGCTATAAAACCTGTTAGAAGTGACCAATCGTAATGCTGTTTTAGGCCAACGCGTTAGTAAAGCGTATACTTTGAAGCAAGTAAATAAAAAAGTGGTCGAAAAATTCGCTGCTGTAGCACTTTAAGTGTTAAGTTCCTACTGCGCCTTTCGCTGCATGGTTTCTATATCACTTCCATAACGTAGTTTCGAACATCCCTCATTGTGATGATGCATTTTTGCTTCCCAATTTCTAATCTAACAAACTGCCAAACTACAATATGATTATTTCATGCAAGTTTACAACAATTCTGACCTTCTAAGAAACTTTCCAACAAAGATCGCAAGCATATCATTCGTCTATATGATTGCCGAGAATGAATCAAATCAAGTATCCAACTCTACAAAAGACTTGGACAAGGGCGGATCTAGGGTATGTCAAATCAGTCACGCGACATATGTTTATAGTTCAAAAATTATTTATCAAATTTAATGATTACAATTTTTTCTTATCATTAAATTTTCGTTCTGTAATCGTTTGGATTTCATCGTCAAAATTCTGTTTTATGTATGAAAACGTATACAAATACCACCTTAGTAAAGAGATCAGTAGATAAAAACATATCTAGAATTATATTAACTGGCTGACTGATAAGCGTGGTGGCTCGACTGGTTCAACCGATAACGGAGTTCAAGAATGCTTATTTAAGCCATTCCATTGGTCAATAGCCAGATCAGTGGACGATCCGGAATAATCTCGACCGATAAGTTGGAATTTATCAGATGGAATTTATGGAAATCTTTTACAAATTCATATATTGACATGAATGCTGCTGTCCAAACTGTGAATTTTTTCAAGAAGGTGAAAAATTTATAGATGAATTGTAAATGCTTGGCAAAGACGATCTCGCGAGCGACATATCAGTCATTGATGTTCAAAAGCAAGCCAACATTGTTTTGAGTTTTATCAGCAGAAATTTACATCCAAAATCGTAAGTAAAGGACAACTGAAGTGTATGCATGAATGTAAAATATCAAAGTCAATTTATGCGATTTATGTGATGCGATTTATGTCAATATGGCGTATGGTAAGCAGATTGATGCTTCTAAAATTATTGTTGCCGAAAAACTTTTAGCTATGATTTCTTTAGTGCTTGGGGAATCGTGGCCGTTATATGGCAGCGAAATCCTATATTCCTGCATATATATTTCAATGGACAAAAAATCTGTAGCCATAAGGCGCCATACTATTATTTACTTTATCATAAACAAACTAACATTGATTACATGAGAAGCTGTTTACTACTACTTGTGATTTTGAGTCTTCTGATCCATGAAGCTTTTTATTTTGACAATTTGACTGGAATGGTATTAAACCTGAGTATTTCACATACATGAAATGTTGTCCCATGTCACATATTGTCCCCTTTTCTAACTGAACACCTCATGTAGAGATGTTCAGGTGTGTTGATCTACGGCTCATACCAGATTGTTTGCCATAAATTCCAAAGGGCTATTTATGTATGAAAACCATTTTCTATATAGTAAAAATGTCTTCCTATGTATGCAGATAAACCTTGAAATTTGGCAAAACAGCAAAGTATTTTTCATGATCACCAGGTAATTTTCTGACGATCATTATAATTTCTAAACTAAATTATTTCAGATTTACATTTAAACGAGCTTTGATCATATGAAAAGATATTTATCATAACCAATAAGCATGACACAGGAACCAATTTTAACATTTATGTAATTATATAATTAAAGACATGTTGGTTACATTCTGTTTGTATTGGCAAATACAATGCTACTAGTGATTGCTATATAGCACACCTTGCATATACTTACAGAAGATAATAGTCTAGTGAAATGCCTAATAAACATTAATGGCATTAAGCTGTCCTTAATTGCAAACTCTCACTCTGATAATTTTAGCTTAATCTTTGGCAGAAAAAATTTTTTAGTTTTTTCTCAAAAGGTGAATTAGCTGGCACTGTATGTGGAGATGGGTAAAGGGTTACAATAAACTTGCATGGTTTGAAATCTTAGCTTGACAACTTGCTAGAAATTTTTAAAGACAATATCTTTTTTGGAATAGCATTATTGTAAAATAAATGTTACGCTCCTAGACATGCCAATGAGCCATATATTTGGCATGATAATGAGCCTAAATATTTGGCAAAACATTCAAGTATTGTTCACTTCAGTTTTTTTTTTGAAAAAAAACGTAAGCAAAATGTGTTGTTTTTACGCAAAAACGATGCCCACAAAATACATTTCCATACGATGCCCATAAAACGCTGAAAATGGCATTTCCAAGGCTCTGACATTCAAAATTTCTCAGGGGAGAATGCCTCGGACACCCCCAGGTGCGGAGCGCCTCCGACGTGTTATGACTGATGTTTGAAAAATCATAGATCCGCCCCTGGACTTGGATACTTGATTTCGGGAAAAAACTTAAGAAAACTTCGGAAGAAACTTAAGAAAAACGCCAAAATGTTTAACCAAGCACAAAACTAGCATTCGATACACGATTGGGATAAGCAAATTTTTGCCATAGGAGTGTCTCAAAAAGTGCTCATGTTTGAAATCAGCCGTACAAATTTTACACGTCAACTGATTTGAAAGACGAGCAAATTTTATGATACATCCAGCAGATCGTTTTATCTCTTTTCCTGTGCATGAACAACACAGAATAGAAAGCTACCATACTGGTGTATTAAAAAAGAACTTCATTTAAAATTCTTTTTAATTGGTACACCAACACGGCGTCTGCAACGTCAAATGAAAACAATCTATGGTAAATTGCTTGTCAGATTCAACATGCTTTTAAAAAACTCCCTCAAAGATTTATTCGAATGTTAGAGTATTACAACAACGATGAAACGATCTTTTAATTTATTTTAGATTAATTAACTTATGCTACTGATCAATCAGTAACAACGAAGCTATCAACAGTAAGTTTGAATTAAACAATAAAAACATGAAAAAACGTAATTAAAATTAGTTCGTAAAACAAACAACTCGCGTCACTGAAATCAAAAGATAACAGGTAAACCTCAATGATTTAATGCTTTCTTAATTCGATATCTTTCCAACACCACGTACCTTTAAAGCTGTTAACGTCCGAATCACACTTCCACCGCAGTTTTGTATCAAAGTCCTTGGGATTACTTCTAATGCATGGGCCACCGCTCGGTAGGGCCACTGGTGAATTCCTGGGACCGACTTTGCTTTTTCGGAGAGGGCCTGGAAACAAATGATAGTAATTGCCATTACTACAACACGAGTAAAAGGCAACAGCAGGGGTAAACCCATTGAAAATCTTCTTTGACAAATAAAAAATAGGTAGGCATTATGTACATGTCGGTAGCCGTGCCTTAAACAATTCAGATGCCATATATACAGAGTGTACCCAAAAAAGGCAGCATCCAAATTAATTAATTACGTATTCACCCGCTAAAATTAATATTGATAAAAATGTTGTTAGTTTTCACAACAGTTAAATGAACTGGTAGCACAAAAGGTAAGAGCGACAGACTAAATCATCCCAAAGATGCAAGTTTAACATTCGTGGACGCTCGTTGATTTTTGCTGAAACATTTTGAATAATGCAATCAGTTGATTGCTAATAGCGTTTTCGAATAACTATGAAGTGATTTTGAAAGCGAGTGTGAGCGAGCTATTAGAATACAGGCGTAAATTTTATTTAGCCACGTATTTTTCAGGTCACCGTATGAGAATGAACGAACACATGATGGTTTTTTAAAATTTTCAGTGCCGTATGTCATGCCTTCAAGAGCAACGTTGTACCAACAGAATGAAAGTAGAAAATAGCCTAAAGCAATAAACACTTACATGGGACAAAGCCATTTCACAGGAACCTCCGCCTGGAACGAGAATAGGGTTCATGATAACGTTTCGCGCCACATTCATAGCATCTTGAAGATTTCGTTCAACCTAAAAATATGGGATGAAATCATTAACGTCAAGCAATCCTTATGAGCACTTCTACATAGGAGTATGCAAGGACTTTATGACTCTAAGTAAGATTACTCCAGACGACAATGATGAAAACACTAGATTGAACTGTATACTGACTCAAAGCTACAAAATCAAACCACTCCTTATAAAAACATTACACTGGCGGATTATATAAGGACTCAAATTTTAACATTAGAAAAGTCTTCATGAAGACAAAAGACTAGAGAATATAAGAACTCAAACCCCAACATCAAATTACCACTAAAGACACTAAACTGGAGTAGATCAGGACTTAAGTCCCAACATCAGATTACCACTGAATAAGACACTAAATTGGAGTATATCAGAACTCAAGTTTCGACATCAGATTACTACTGATGAAGACACTACACTGGAATATAGAAGAAGGACTCGTGTTTAAAAATCAGATTACAACTGATGAAGACACTTAACTGGAGTTTATACAAACTCAAGTGTCAACATCACATTACTCCTGATAAAGGCATTGGACTGTAGTACAGGCACGAGAACAGATTGATAATTAAGGGCAGGAATGGTTAATATACAAAATTGCAAGCTCTACTTGATTAGGTTCTATTGAAATCAATCGTGATTACAGATTATAACCTATAAAATTATGTATATAGCTAACCCCCTCCCAATTATCAATTTGCCGCCGTCCCTGCAGTATATAGCGATTTATATTTCAATATTAGATCACTCCTGGCAATGGCTTTAGACTGACTGAAGTTGAAACAACACCTCTTGTAAAACATCTTCACTGGGTCCACGAAGTAATATCGTACAAGCTTTTGGATTGTCACACTCGATTACAAAACTGAAATATCTAAACACAAACACATCAAATTAAACTGAACACAAGAAATCAATCTTAAATAAAAAAACAGAGACTTTGTCGTGGTGACAAATTTAAATATTGTCTTAAAAAGAGCAAATACCATGGTGAATGGTCAAAAACTAACGAAATAGTTCTTAAAAGAACTGTTTAAGCCAGAACAAGCAACAAACGATTCTAAAATAACTGTTTTTAAAGATGAAAGACACTATGCATTTCGGCAGACTACTCATCAGGTCTCAATTTAGAGATGACGTTAACTTTTGGTGGTATTATAAATATCGCATGATTCTGAAGCTCTCATTTAGCAGCAGTGATATGTATATTAGACTGGATAACGCATTTCTTGCAAAAATTGAAGCCGGAAGATCGATCATTTGCTACTGGCTTCATGGGGGGTATCGGTCCCACTTTACTATACTTTTGTATTACAAAATCACAGTTTTCGGGTTTTTATTCCTTTTACAAACTTCCGATTAAGGCAAAATTTTTATGACATGTAGAGGAAAACCGGTAGAGAGTTTTAACCCTGAAGCACTGTTTTTTTGGCTTTGTAACGACTGAAAAGTAAGATGACAAGTTGTATTTAAATTTGAAAGTTGAAGGCGACGAGGACAATTTCAGCCGTGCGAGGCATTTTTAGAAGATGAATACTTAAATTACAAATTTACAACAAAGTAAGAACAAAGTTATTCATATCTTCAACATATTCATCGATATTGAAGTTGTTCACATAGGAACTGATTGAAAACTTTGCTTCGCTTAATGACAACAGAGGTACTTTAATTCGCATATTTTGATGATGTACATCTCGTAGAGTTTGATGATGTACATCTCGTAGAGTTTGATGATACCGTTTTCAACCAACTATTGTTCATCAAAATGTCTTTCTGATTATTTTTCTATGTCGATTTGTTTTGTTTCCTCACTGATATAATAAAGATTTAATTTGAAATTATGATATTAGCGATGTGAATAACAAAGTGTTGTTAAATAAGTAAATTTGTAGCAATCTTCCATAAACGTCATTCCAGATGAAATTTTGGTAGCAGTGGCAGGATTCTGTAATTGTTTCTACATTTTTTAAGAGGCAGCAGCATCATATAATCTCCAATTTGTTTCAAAACAATGCAGGTCGACCTTGTACCATCTCAATTTTCTGCCATAATAAAGCCAAGAAGACAAACTTTTTAGGATTAAATATCTTTGCCGTTTGTTCTGTCCATTTCAAAAATTTTTGCTGAAATCAAAAGTTTGTAGAACGAATAAAACCGCAAAAACTGTGATTTTGTAATACAAAAGTATATTAAAGTGGGACCGATACACCCCCCACGAAGGTCATAATCAGATGAGCCAACTTCCGGCTTCAATTATCTTATTATATTTTATATATGGATGCGTTATCCAGTGTAATATACATAACAGTGTTTAGCAGACGTTGAAATCAGGGGCCGGTTGTACGAAAGGCGTTTAAGTCGTTAACCACCGTTTAAATCGCCCTCCACCGTATAGATTTTAAACGCTTGAAAAATTGCGTTGTACGAAGCATGTTTAACTCCATCCATCGGTTAAATTTTGCCTATCCACTGAGTTAATTTAAACGGTCTCATGAGACCGTTTAAGTCGCTAAACGGCGGATAAAGCGTTGTTGTCTTGTAGTTTTTTTTCTCATATGGCTTTCAGATTACATGGCATTCATTTCTACGCTCTCCCAAAAGTAAATAGACCGGGTGATAAATTTTATAGACGTAAAATACGATGTGAAATAGACGACCAGCGTTTCAACGTACAACCGTGACGAGTAACGAGTTGCACGAACGCTGTCGCTTCAGTCAAAAAACTACTGGCTATACATAACACGTCTTGTCAAAAACCATGTCCAACCAAAAAGAGTAGAGTAAAAAAACAATTTATCGCCGTCTTGTAAGACATGTATGAAACTTTGAATCGTATTCTGTATTTAATATAAAGATAACATGCCTTTTCGGGAGTTTCTTTACACCATGTCGTATCAAAAGCGAAGAAAATCCACTAAATCGCAGTCAGCAAGCCTCTGGGACAAAATAGGGAGCTTTAGCAAAGACTACGAGTACGAATTACGTCATTTTGGCGCGAAAACATTGTTGCGACAACAACAACACGTAGCCGTCTCAATCTGAGTACGATGTTTTGTAAAAAATTCGTTGTCGCGAATACGATGTCTTTTTAAGCAGAGAAAGTAGGTATATTTTTCTATTGTGTAAGAAATAAGTTTACAGTATTATTTTCGAGCATCCAGGCTTTAATTTAGAACCTTTTTTGAGTGCATATGTACATTAAAAAGGAAAATATGACCTTGAAAACTTTCATGTATTTCGTACGCAAAGTGAAAGGTAAACAAACAATAAAAATAGTACAAATATATCGTACATAAAACTTAAATTAGTGAAGATTTTTCACTCTAAAGAGTCCTATATTCTCTCAAAATCAGTATTACCGATTAGTTGAGACCATTATTGACAAATAGAGCCGTAACTGCTTCGCAAACTTCGGTGTTTCACACAATAAAAGAGCTCGTTCTGTTGTTTATAACTAAAACAAAATTTTGACGAAACGACAACGACAACAAACTTCCTCGTGCCATTCCCTTACACGGTCAAACTTCGTACTCGTTGTCGTAGTCGTACTCTTGCTAAAGCTCCCTCATAACGCTACAATTTTTTGCACCGGAAAGTTTTGAGGTACGTTTACACCAGTGAACTCCATATATATATATATATCTGGAATGATAACGACAATACATTTTATAGATATAAAATTGAAGCCAAAGTCCTAGTCTCTTGCGCGGTTTGTACGTCAGTTCCAGTCCTTCAAAGTCGAATATTCACGCGGTTTGTACGTCAGTTTCATTCCCCTGAGTGCCAAACATACACGGCCAATATAAATTTGAATACAAATTGCAAAAGCATAAACATACAAACAACATCACGACAAACAACACACGAGGCCAACTCCTCGCAAAAGGTTATTTTTTACAGCTGAAACTTTATTACAGTGAGTTCGTAACTTACAACTTGTAACGAGGAAAAGCCAACTGAAAATTACACTGTTTGCTAAAAAGACAATACAATAGAAAATATGACGAGAAAATATTCAAGCATAAATTTTTCTTTCGTCGGAAGGTAAACTTTCAAACGGTGTCAGACAGTGTTTGTCTTTTTTGTCATTTAAGCGGATTTAAAGATCTGTTTTTCCGAATAAAAAAGAAACTTGAATATCCAGTTTCATAAAAAATATTGAGTCTATAACTCGCATTTTTACTTTTTGCAGAGCGATTGTATTTTTCATCGATTTTGATAGTGCTTGAAACTTGAAATACTAAATGGTTGTCATCTCGATATCAATAATTGAATATCCTTAAAGACTTTGATATGTTTTAAAGGAAAACCGCAGCGTAAGAGCAGATCGACTAAGTTCACCTCATCTTGCTTCTCGATTTATCACTTTGATTCACTTTCCGTGAACCTTTTCATTCCAAAAATTTCGTTATTTTTACGCTCTGATCAAGATCCGAACTCTACCATTACCAAGGGACAAATGATTTAAAATAATTAAAATGAGCACGCGAGAGACTAGAGCCTGACGTGTAATGACGAATGATGACGACAAATATTTTTTTGGCTTCAATTTTTGGCTTCGGTTATCATTCCAGTTATTCAAATGTCGAGTTCACTGGTTTACACACAACGATTTGTCGGACCGACACTTACGCCATATTACGTGTTCTTGCCATATATGGAACATTTGTCGTGTAAGACAAATCGCTGTGTGTAAATAATGCATCCGATGTATTTACGCGATTTCAAAAAAGAAAACAAATATGTCGAAGAACAATAGCAAAGCGAAATTAAAAGTTGTCATTGTAGCTACGGAGTCAATGTATATTATTATTTCTGCCTCAAAAAATAAAGAAAAGAAAACAAATATAAAGATCGGTGTGGGTGAAGTGCAAATCGATTTAAATTTTGCCGTATTTCTTATTTCAAGAAGTTATTCTTGCGTTTTTTCTTTTTCTGAATCTCTGCAGCATTTGGTTTTTCAATAAAAACGACGCTTTTTCCGTGTTGACAGAAGACATTCTCATTTTTCGATAATCATAATTTGCTTGTTTCTGAAGCAATAGCAACATAGTAAAAATATGGAACAAATCTGTAGTTTGTTACAGATTTTTATCCGATTTTTCGAGTCGGGCGACTTTCCAAATATGGCGAGAATATATGACGTAATATGGCGTCAGTGTCGGCCCGACAAATCGTTGTGTGTAAACGTACCTTTATGCAAGTAAACAAATTTACTGACTGTAATAAATACACTAAAAGCATATTTCTCGAGTTTTCCCGCCTGGATGCCGCCATACCTTATATGGTATATTTTGGGTGAAAATGTCAGCGGAGTTGCACAGGCTCATCTTTTCCTTCCCTCCGGATTTCACACAAAACTTCAATAGACGAGATAATAAATGAAATAAAATATATATGCTTTCAGTCACAAGTATATATATTTTATTCATGAAATTTTTTGAAATTTCATGAATAAAACACATGCTGAAAACTTGTGGTAAACAAATAGTAGTGCAAGAAAAGAAAACATTTCATGACACCGGGATGCCAGATAATTTTGTTTGTTTTTCACAATATTCAGTATTTTTTAACGCCAATTCTTTTCGAAATAAGCGTATCTTCCATCAAAAAAAACTCACCCATTACGTATGAGTTGAATCATCGTACTCCCAACTCAGAAATGGAGTAGGATTTATTCAAAATATTTGTCAGAAAACATGAGGGAAAAGTGAAGATTAGACTTTAGAGTTGTGTCGAAATGGAATGCATTTGAGCATTTTCAGCATTATACTACACTGCAATATTTGTAAAACAGTCTGAATGTGAGCAACAAAGGTAATGGTGGTAAAGTTATACTTGATGCTACTAGTTTTATCTATGACATTTGATGCA